AGAGACGATAGCTCATCTGCTGCTGCACAGTTTGTGTTGGTCATCCTCTAGTCCTTCATCAGTGGTCGCAGGACGCTGCCCACAGGACGCTGTTGGCCGGATATGTGTGGTTGGTGGTCTATTCTCAGTCCAGCAGCGACACTGAGGTGTTTAAAAACTCCAGCCGCACTGCTGTGTCTGATCCACTCAGACCAGCACAACACACACTAACACACCACCACCACGTCAGTGTTACTGCAGTGCTGAGAATGATCCACCACCCACATAGTACCTGCTCTGTGAGGGTCCATGGGGTCCTGACCACTGAAGAACAGGGTAAAAGGGGGCTAACAAAGTATCAGAGAAACAGATGGACTACAGTCTGTAACTGTAGAACTACAAAGTGCACCTATATAGTAAGTGGAGCTGATAAAATGGACAATGAGCGTAGAAACAAGGAGGTGGTCAGAATGTTCTGCCTGATTGGTGTATGTACTAAACGGGGTCCAGTCAGGTGCTTTTTCACAGTTAGGCCCTTCAAGAGAGCAGTGAAAGCCAAAGAGCCTGAAATCGACAAATCTCAATCCCAAAAAAGGGTGGGACCGTGTGTGAAATGCAAATGAAAACATAAATTTGTAAATCCACTGAAAAGAAAAGTCAAACATTTCACACGTGAAGTGTAAAAACCAAGTGATCACATACATACGTGATGACACGTCTTTCCACACGCAATAACACATTTTAAACATGGGAAGTGTGCAAAAATGTGTTTTATTCACATGAAATTCATGTGACTTTTCTATGAGGGCTGTTGTCACGCCTCTGGATTCACCCTCCATCCCTAATGACTCTCTGGACTCCACTTCCCTCAATCCCTTTGACCAGCATGTCATCGTCACACGCACTCCATCACCCGATCCTGGACAGTTTCCAAGCAGCACCTCACCTGAGTTTTCATTTCTTTTACCTGTGTTTGCTTATCTGTGTTTGTATTAATGCCCATTTGTTTGTCATGTGTGCTGCGAAGTATTGTCATCGGTTTTTGTGAGCGTTCTGTTGTATTTGTATTTTGATCTTTTATCTGGGAGAACTGCTCGTCTCAAAATGATCACTCTGAAACAGAGACAGGCAGCTATTTCAATGACATTCCATCTGAACCGGACAGAAATCCTAGTCATGGTGGAAAGTAAACAGCGCACAATTCCCAAGGCTAAAGACTTTGGCTAAGCGCTGTTTGTGCATACCAGCCACTTCAGAATCTGCAGAGCAGGTTTCAGGTATTTGAGCAGACTGTGCTGTAGACTTTGCTCATGTGGATATGTTGATATTTCTCAATAAAAATGAAGAGGATGTTTAGCCAGCGCTTTGAACGCCATGTCACTTCTGTTCGGCTATAGCCTACAAATGTTTGGTAACAGCTGCAAGCTACTAACTTTATGTTGATTATTTTATTATTGTTTAACCCTCTGGGCTCTGAGGTTGTTCATCTCTTCTTAAACTCTCCTTTAAAGGCTCTTCATATAACCTGATCCTCATATGTTTCATATCAAAATGCTCCGTTATCTTCATCACTACTTTCCAAAACCGCTGCAGCAGCTTCAGCAGCTGTAAACTCTCTGAACGCCGTTTCACATGAGTCTCCGATGTGGACTGAATGAAGAATGAAGGGTTTCCGGCGTGATGGTCAGTCCTTAGTGGTTTCCTGAGTGTTTATTGGTCAGTTTCACACAAAATGTAGACGGACACACAAATCCACCAGCTCCACACGGTGAGAGGCAGATGATGTGTATCTCAGCCCCTCTTCATAGGCTCATAACTCCGGATGTGAGTCTCGTATGATCTCGTGATAAGATGGAATGGAAAGGGTGACTTTACAGATTCAGGAAGTGTTTCAACTGGATCAGAAACACAAACAGATATAGAAATATCAAATTTGAGGTGTGGGCAAGTTTGTGAAACCCAGAGGGTTAAACTATCTTTGTGAGCTTGAAGCCCTGCTCAGGTTATATATTACAATTGTTGGGATAAAACCTTGCATCTCCAAAAAGGTAATTTTGGAGAAGTAAAGAATCTTCTTAACTTTGAATGGGAGTTAATGCAACCAGAGTTTTTTCCATTTAATTTTCGAGCATTTCTGTTGGTCCCATTCATTATGAAATGTTAATACAACGTAAAAATATATAACGTTGATATTTACAAATTATCTAAAAATTTTTTTATTTATTTCAATAAAGCCTAAACCAGGGGTGGCAACCCAAATGTTAGGAAGAGCCATTTTGTCCTTTCAACAAAAATCAAACCACTTTGGGAGCCACAACATTTTATGTCCATTTTACCATCTTAGGTGTAAATATGTCTCAGTATGTGCTGATGTTCTAGTATAGGCTAAAAAATATAATATAAATGAAAACACAGACTTACTTTGCTCTGCTTTAAGCTCAGCTATAGCCGCTTTTCTCGCATCTCCGGCAGGAAACTTTTCCACAAAAGAAACTAAAAGTTCATGTAAAATGTCTCTCAACTTTTTACGAGGCTGAAGTCTCATTCACCAGCTTCTTGTTTGAATTTTCCCGTTCCACCTTAAATGGTGCAGCAGGCCTGAACAAAAAGCTGGCAAATGAGAAACCGACTTCAGCTTTGTGACTTTTTAGTGTTTGTCAGTTTCTCACTGTAGATTAAACGTATCAGGAAACCAGCTGGAGTGATTATAAATGCTAATAAGTCCATTCATCTCCAAATGATCAATGTTCATCTTAAATCTCTCTCTTTGCCGTTTCGTTAGCTACTAGCTAGGCGAGATTGTTGTCTGCGTTGCTATGGTGACCAGCAGTCTGCGCTGATCTTCAGGGTTAAAGGGTGAATTAGCAGTTCTACATTAACTCCAGAGTTTAAGACCATTTATTGTTAAACTGTGCTGAACGATCAGCAGAGCTTTATTTTGCTGTAAAGGAGGATTATTTTATTTTTACCTACAAAATGCAACTGGGCAGTAAAAGCGCCACACGTGGCTCCGGTGCCACATGTTGCCGACCCCTGATCTAAAGCACTGTTTATATATAACACAATATAGCAATGTCTTCTTTACATAAAGCTTCCTATTTGCCCCCCCCCGCCCCCCCAGCCCGTAACCAGCCCACTGCTGAGATGAAATTCTGTCTATGCCACTCGTCTATAAGACTATTAAGACTCAAGCACCACAAACAGCCCTATGAGTCTATTCACATCCAAACCAGAAAGCTAATATTAGCACGCTTTGTGTTGTGTAGATGTGAATAATCAATGAATCACAAAAATGGAAGGGGAGTTATGAATGAACTGCGAAATCATTTGGAGAAGTCACACAGAGAAAATTAGTGTGTGAGTAGGCATGTGTGTGTGTGCATGTGTTTGTTTTCATATATTTTCAGGACAAAAGCATCCAGACTCTATTCAAGAACCAGAACAAACTTTAGGAGTAACCTACAATGTACAACACAATGAGCCTGACTTTGTCAGGTGCTTTGAGCAAAAGCTATATTTCATTCTCAAAAGCAGAAAGGCAAGACTATTATTGCGTATTTCCACCAGAGAAGTCTCAAAAATCCCAAATCCTACATAGTGTTGCTTTAAGTGTGAGGCGTTAGTGTCAAAATGTCTTTATAATGATGAAAAACACATATTCAGTGTATCCAGACCTTTGACTGGTATTGTAGGCACTTACATAATACACATACACTATACTGACAAAAGTATTGGGACGCCCTTCCTTAATATTGAGTTCAGGTGTCTGAGCCACACCCATTGCTAACATGTGGATCAAATTAAGCACACAGCCCTGCAGTCTCAATAGACAAACAATGGGAGTAGAGGGTTGCACTGATAAACTCAGTGACTTTAAACATGGCACTGTTATAGGATGCCGCCTCTGCCACAAGTCAGACTGTGAAGTTTCTGTCCTGCTAGGTCTGCCCCAGACAACTGTAAGTGCTATTATTGTGAAATGGAAGCGTCTAGGAACAACAACAGCTCCGCCACAAAGTGGCAGACCACAGAGTGGAGCCGGCGAATGCTGAAGTGCACAGTGTCTATCCTCTGTTGAATCTCTCATTAAAGAGTTCCTCATTACCTCTTTAAGCAACATAAAAAACTGTGTGTTAGGAGCTTCACAAAATGCGTTTCCATGGCTGAGCAGCTGCACACAAGCCTAAGATCAAAATGCACAATGCCAAGTGTCGGATGGAGTGGTGTAAAGCACCACCACTGGACTCTGGAGCAGTGGAAACGTGTTCTGTGGAGTGACCAATCACACTTCTCTATCTGTCAGTCTGATGGACGAGTCTGGGTTTGGGGAATGCCAGGAGAACATTACCTGCCTGACTACACTGTGCCAGCTGTAGAGTTTGGTGGAGGAGGGATGATGATATGGGGCTGTTTTTCAGGGGTTGGTCTAGAACCCTTAGTTCCAGTGAAGGGAAATCTTAATGCTTCAGCACCAAGACATTTTGGACCATTGTACACTTCCAACTTTGTGGGACCAGTTTGGGGAAGAACCTTTTCTGTTCCAGCATGACTGAGCCCCAGTGCACAAAGCAGCTCCATAAAGGCCTGACTGGGTGAGTTTGGTGTGGAAGAACTTGACCGGCCCTCACAGAGCCCTGACCTCAACCCCATCAAACACCGAGATTCTCTCGTCCAACATCAGTGTCTGACCTCTGGATGAATGGACAAAAATTCCCACAGACACTCTCCAAAATCTTGCAGAAAGCTTCCCAGAAGAGTGGAAGCTGTTACAGCTGCAAAGGGAAAAGACAACGAGCAACAAAGACCAACTCCATAATAATGCTTAAGGATTTAGAATGGGATTCATAAAAGCTCCTGTAGGTGTCCCAATACTTTTGCCCATATAGTGTATATGCATATAATACACCTATAGGTATGTATGTCCTGTCCAAGTCCTGACATTGCATGAAAACAGGTATGTGTTTGTGTGCATGCTTTTGAGTGGGGTGTAATTGAGAAAGTCCTCCAAGACACATACTTACCGGCTGCAGTGAGGGTGAAGTCGGTTCTGTGGAAAGTTCTGATCTTGAGTGCAACTGAAAAAGAGAGAGAGAGTGAGAGAGAGAGAGAGAGCTCAGGTTAGACACCGTCTTGCAGAGCTTTTTCTCAGCAGTGAACCATTTGGCATTCCAGAAATAAATTTCATTTAATGTCGGCTCTAATTGCGCTCTGGAACCGCTGGACATTTTTTCCATTCACAATAAAAGCTGAATATAAGGCCGTGCGAGCCATGTTTACAGTGACTGCTCGATCTATTCTCTGTCCTCGGGCACCGCGTGAACTTCTGGAACTTGGGACGAGCGCGGCGGAGACGCTCTTCCTCTCCTTCTTTCGCAAACAACTTCAAACCCTCCTAATCCCCCTCCCGCAACTTATCACCGCGCATGTAAATCGTATCGTACTTAAGATGTCACTTCCAGTGTTTATGGGCCGTAAACTGGGAGTGTGTGTTGTGTGTGCTTGGAGAAGGCGCTGGAGTGGAGTGGATCCTCTTATGCTCCATCAGTGCTCTTGGCAATCAGTCTCTCTTTCTTTCTCTCTCTCTCTCTCTCTCTTTCTCTCTCCCTCCTCATTCCTGATTTCCTGAATTTCCTGATTCAGTCTGATGGATTCAAGCATTTTGTAAAAGGAATGCTATTAGTCATATTAAGGCTGATCAAATTTCGATATTTCTAAAGACTATTTTATTTTATTTTCATACTGGCTTGAATTTTAGACTAAAATCGCTTTGCTTTGAGTGACTTTAGGCTTTAATTACGTTAATTTTATTAAAACAAATGCTTACAGAGCCTCGCTGCTGACATCCCACATAAACAAAAATAATGCGTGGCCACGACTTAGTAAGCCTGGAGACGAGACGGGGTGTGTGGAGTCAGTACAGCTTAGAAAACATCATTTCAGTGGATTATGGTTCAGTTATGTTCCCTGACTAAAGGTACTGAGATGGACCCTTAAGGGTTCCAACCCAGTGACGAGAGGGGAACCGGCCCAGTCACAGTTTAGTACCGTTTATTGCTGAGAGTGTACAGACCTGACCTGATCCGAAAAAAATGTGCATGAAGCACATAATGTTTATCTAGTATTTTGTTTGATAACAGACAGGATGGAATTTTGAATTTTGGACTTTTTGTCCATTTTCCCTGGTTTTCCTCATTTATTTGTTCTGTGTTGTGCTGCATGTCGTGTGCAGCACATGGAGAAAACAGGCTCGATGCCTATTTTCTGTCTCTACATCTGACGCACGCTTTGTGGAATCCATAACCTGTTAATATGGGCACCGAAATGAAAAGCAAGACATTCTGTCCTGCTTAAGTATGAAACATAAGAGTAACAGCTGTTCAAACACGAGAAAAAGAAGCACTTTGTGCATATTAGAGCAACTCAAAATGGCCATTTCAAAAAGGTAGCCCAAAAATACAGAATGTACCAGTTCAGACTACTAAAAATGAAGAGATATTTCTGTTGCATTTGAATGCAATTGCCAACCTAGCATGTCTTACCTAAATTGCACTGTTTTACAAAGTTTAAAGTCGCACTATGTAAGATTTGGGGATTTGGAGACCCCTCTGGTGGAAATTTGCAATTGCATACAATGTGTGGAACAATATTTTGTAGAGCGGGTAGTGCTTTGTACCACAGCGTTTTAGGGCCACTGTAAAAAAAAATAAACTTTAAGAATAAAGTCATAATATTTTGAGATTAAAGTCGTAATATTTCGATAATAAAGTTACACGAATAAACTTGCGATATTTGGAGGAGAAAGTGGGCTAACTGTATAGAGATGTAACCACCCATGTAGACGACCACTGCACGTCTCCTTCAACAACAGAGACAGTTTCCTCCGAGTCCGTCTCGTTCTTTCTTCTAAATAAACTTGCTCGGCCGTTTCAGCCGGTTCTTATACTAATAACAGGCTGGTGCTGATGAGCCAGGAGAGACAGGGAGACTGAGTGTTTCTTTATGGGTGAAATCGATACTGTACCTGTACCAACTCCTTAACACCCCTCATTTACACAGGAAGAGGTGCTGCCTTCCTTTTGCAAAGCATTTGGCCACAATATTGCAACTTCTCCTGGTATTAATGCCACTTTAATGTCGTAATTTTACGACTTTTTTCTCTTTTTATGAAATATTACAACTTTATTCTCAAAATACTGACCTTATTCTTAAAATATCATACAGTATGACTTTCTATCCTGAAATATTACGACTTCATTCTCAAAGTATTTTCATTCTTTTTAATGGTGGCCCTAAAACGCGGTCGTAGCTTCGGCCCCCTTCACCAAGCGGATGAATCTGATGATTCATTGAGAATTTAATGAGAACTCTTGGTGAAGGAGCGTCTTCTGAGGATGTGAGTGAATTATCTACTACTGTCATCACATCTTCATCAGTATAATGTTGATTTTGAGATCATTTGAGACCTAAACATTGAGCAGGATCTTCTTTTTGAGTCAGCCCGCCGACTCTGACTTTTAAAAATAGGTTTTACAGGGCGACTCGCAGCAGCGCACCCACCACTGTTTTTATTCTCCTCACTCAGTAATGACGCTTCTTTCAGTTTTAACCAAAATAATCATATATAATTTATAATCTTGTATTACTACTTAAAGTTAATAACACCAACAGTGCAGCTTATATTTATTTAATTTTCTATAAAATATCAGCCAATACTCAGCACTCGGACTGAGATCAGGGCTAAAACGTGGGCCACCCTGATAAAGGACTGGTGGATCTGGGAGATTTAGCTGAGCGTACAGATCACACACAGTGACTGAGGAGACAGGCATGTGCTGCCTTCGGTGTGATGCTGTCGGGATGAGGAGAAGAGGGAGTTGTGTAGTCTGAAGGAGCGCTGGGACCTTTCATTAAGCAGGCTGAGTTTTGGAGAAGCTTTGTAATCTTGCCTGCTGTCCTGTGTAATCCGGAGGATGCGTGGATGTCCGAGTTGAGAGGTCATGTAAGGGCAGGAGGGAACATGGGCAGCTGAACTGGACTAATGAACTAGAGCTTTATTTATTACTGTTTTTTTTTGTGCACTGATGCTCAAAAGTTTGGGATCTCTTTTCATATTATATATTTATTTATATTGAGTAGAACTCAAAACGCAGCCAGAACATGACCAGCAAACACAGCTTTGAACAGCTGTTCACTCATAAAATCATCATATTTTTATATTATATATTTTTTAACACACTGATTTTCAGACTTTGGGACACATTTATTTCAAAACAATGAGATCTAGTTGCTCACCATGTGGCCATGAGGGACAGGGATGCAGCCTCTTATTTAGAAATTAAACTCATCTTTCCAGTTCACTTTGAAGTAAATTAAAAATAAATCTTTCAAAAAGTGACATTGAAATAAAAAACACGCAAAAAAATATAAGTACTATTTTCAGAAGAGTGAATTTAGGGGTTATGGTTTGGGACAGAAACCTCCCAATAGAAAGACCCCTATAAATGATGATTTTGTATATATTTAGCTTATTAATAAATAACGAGCTAGTTATCTTGTTATCTCGAGATAACAAAAGTCGTTATCTTGAGATAACAAGTTAATTATCTTGTGCTCTCAAAATAACACCATTGTTAACGTGTTAATTATCTTGTGATCTCAAGATAACAACTTTGATCTCAAGACAGCAACTTTGTTAACAAGTTAATTATCTTGTGATCTCAAGATAGCAACTCTGATCACAAGACAACAACTTTGTTAACAAGTTAATTATCTTGTGATCTCAAGATAACAACTTTGTTATCTTTAGATCACAAGATAATTAACTCATTATCTCAAGATAACAATCCAGAAAATTATAGAAACAGCTCATGGCCTCTCTGGACGTCCGTACTGATTCAGTGTGATGGTTCGTATACAGTAATAACTTATTCAATGTAGATTTAAATATTATAGAACAGACATCAGTAGGTATTCTTAGATGTTTCATTCAAGTACTTTGAGATCAAGAAATTATTAAATGTTAAATAAGATTTTTTTTCAATTTATCTGCCTTGAGATTTGATCATCTTATGTGAAATATGAGGTATTATGAATAATATTTTTTTATTCACTGTTTATTATTTTATTATTTATAACTTATACAGCTTTCTGACTCATTATAGAATCATCTACAGCTCTGTTCGTCAATCTGGATGCATCTGTTTATTTATTTATTTATTTTCAAAATGATTTTAAACCTATTAAGTTGCATATCAGAATCATTTTGTACATGTTTCTGCAACCAGACCGGTTTTATATCATTAAATAAAAACAAATTCTGACCGTCTTTGAATGCCAGTCTATATTAGGGACAATGAGCATTAATTAACCCAAATGTAAACGTGTCAGCGTTAGCCAGCTGGCTAATTTTCAACTGTATTTCCAGAGATCTCATATTTACAGCCACAAACAATTCAGATGACAAAATAAAGGACAGTTTACATACAGACGGGCTAACATAACCCACATAAAGCACACCAAAAACAAGAGATGCTGGGCAAAATGACCTCCAGAACATACAGCTGCTGTTCGAGGGTCAGTTGGAGAAGGTTCGGACCACCCTGGTGCTGCGCTGCTGATGTATTGTGCACTCAGAATCAGCAGCACTCAGGAGACGTCTATACAACGGCTTTAAGATGAAGTACGGCTCGCAGCACAAACAATGGAGCACGGTATTCAAAACAGGCTCCTCTGTAGGCTCAGCGCCGCGTGTCTGTGGATATTTGGGTCGTTCTGCCACTGCACTGGCAAACATTCTCATTCTCCATTTGGAGGGGAAACCATGTCACAAAGGTTGCAGGGCTTGAAAAGAAGCTTAAAATATTAGAAACAGCTCCAAAAGTCAGTATGTATATTTACACAGTCGACCCAAGATTAAATAACACTTTTCCCTTATAATTTTTCTTTTTTTTATCCTGTTTCATAGTCGCTCTACATCTGTAAAACACTTGAGAAACCATTTTTAATATAAAACAATATTTTTAAGTGGTTTAACTTAGGAATTTGTATAAAACAGATTCATGTTTACTTTTTATAT